TTGCACTTATCTTAATATTTCCCTCATGTATGTATTTATGTATACATTATATATATATATATATATATATATATATATATATATATATATATATATACTATATACTAACTACTATATATATATATATATATATATATATATATATATATATATATATATATATATATATATATATAATATATATATATATACACTCAGCTTTCACCTATGTCCCTTTGTGCGTGTACCACACGTGTTATTGTGAGAATTGTGAGAATTTTGCATGTGGTAATCATGTCTCCCCGAGCTCTTCTGTCTCCCAGCGTCATGAGGTGCAATTCACGCAGCCTTTCCGCGTAACTCATGCCTCTTAGTTCTGGGACTAGCCTAGTGGCATACCTCTGAACCTTCTCTAGCTTCGTCTTATACTTGACGGGGTTGTTAAATTTGCAGTAGGCATCTGGAGTATGCATCTTCAGCATGGACTCCAGGGTGGAGTTGCATACTCCAGGGTTGGTCTGACATATGTGGTATCCAAGGGCTCTAAATGATTCCTTACACAGTACACACACAAATCACAATAGCGTGATGCATAAAGGATCCTGCAGAGAGGCTGCAGGATCAAGTAAGTTCAGTAGAACTTCGTTTTCAACTCCTTTGCCCATGTCGTAGCTCAGTCGATTAAGGCAGCGTCTGGGATCATCTCGGACGTAGGTTCGAATCCTCGTCACGGCTCTTGTGGATTTGTTCATTCCTTACACAGGTTTCTGAAGGCAGTTATGATATGAGCCAGCCTCGCATAGGCCGCTATGTGTGTATTCGCCTAGTTGTATTCATCTAGTTGTGCTAGGGGGAGGGGTTCAGCTCTGCTCTTTCGGCCCGCCTCTCAACTGTCAATGAATCAACTGTTACTAACTACTATTTTTTTTCCACACACACACACACACACACACACACACACACACACACACACCCCAGGAAGCAGCCCGTGACAGCTGTCTAACTTCCAGGTACCTATTTACTGCTAGGTAACGGTCATAGTGATGAAAGAAACTGCCCATTTTGTTTCTCGTCGGAAAACCCCGGTTCACAGGATTACGTGCCAGCGTGCTATCCACTCAGCCACCAGCTCCCCCTAGAATTTATATATATATGTGGTGTGTGTGTGTGTGTGTGTGTGTGTGTGTGTGTGTGTGTGTGTGTGTGTGTGTGTGTGTGTGTGTGTGTGTGTAATTAACCCGCTGTCAGATTTTCAGAGTATATTAACTCGATCTATTAACATTAAACAAGCTTGGCCTCATCTTATCTGTCAGCGAGTGTTAAGTGCTTGGAGGTCAAGAGGCGTAAATAAGACATGATAACCTCAGAGTACTGTCTAGTAACTAAGAAGGCAAAGGGGGGGGGGGGAGGGGAAGTAATTTGCATATCTTAACATAGTTTAATATGTTAAGGAGCTGAGGAGAGCTTAACATATAAGCTGAGGAGACTTAACAATGGCTTTTTGATTGCTTACTTTTTTTATTATTATTATTTTTAATAGCGTTGCCTTTTATAACTGGGTTTAAACTACAAAAAAAGGCCTTGGTTGAAATTGTGTTGAATATGTTAATATGTGCGATTTTATATGTTATCATCGTAAATTGATGGTTGAAAACAATAAATAAACGTTATTTAGATAACGTAAATAACATAACATTTCGTAACATTTCTGAAAGATATCAACTTTCTACCTATAACAACTGATGCGTATTTCTTATTAAAAAAAAAAATCCTGCCAAATTTATCAGAATTCATTATTTTTTTTTAATTGAAATATAAGAAAGTAACATTTACCCAAAACATTTACAAAATTGTCACATCTTTTACCAAATTTTTGCGGCTTTCTTTACATTTATTAAAGATTTTATGAACGTGAAAACATAACAACCCAAAGTTATTATTGATATAAACAACCTCATGGGTGCTTCACAACTCATAAACCTTTTTTTTTTTTTAATAACTGTAAATAAAGCCGATATGATTGAGGAATGATTTACAGGTTTCGTAAAGGGTTGTGTAAATAATTGTTGAAGCCTGTCTCTGTATGCTGGATGATCTGAGCTGAACAAGCCTGGGTTTATCTGAAGGGATGCTGGGTTTTATCTCAAAACATAATGGGATTTATCTCGAGGGATGCTGGGATTTATCTCTAGGGATGCTGGGGATTTATCTCTAGGGATGCTGGGGATTTATCTCTAGGGATGCTGGGGATTTATCTCTAGGGATGCTGGGGATTTATCTCGATGAATGCTGGGATTTATCTTGAAGGGTTACTGGAAGAAAATATATATTACAAAACACCAGAAATGTTCCCCCACTCTCGGCACCACATTAGTTAACTTAAATTCAATACAGAATTCTGACCAGGACTCATGACCAGCATTTAACGTGACCACTGACGAAACCAGTGCATCTTTCCTCTAAAGTGGCGGCTTGGGTTTACATTTATGAAGCAGTTGCGATGGTTCGAGGCTCCTAGTGTTAATATTTGTTAAAGATAACCCAATAACAAACAGGGGCCTCGTAGCCTGGTGGATAGCGCACAGGACTCGTAATTCTGTGGCGCGGGTTCGATTCCCGCACGAGGCAGAAACAAATGGGCAAAGTTTCTTTCACCCTGAATGCCCCTGTTACCTAGCAGTAAATAGGTACCTGGATGTTAGTCAGCTATCACGGGCTGCTTCCTGGGGGTGGAGGCCTGGTCAAGGACCGGGCCGCGGGGACACTAAAGCCCCGAAATCATCTCAAGATAACCTCAAGATAACCTTGTAGCGCTTCGGAGATCCGGAAATTCTTTATTAAGTGTAAACAAAGCCGACACGATTGGGCAGAGAGATGCATAGGTTTCGTATGTTGATAGGTAAGTGCCTGATGAGTCTGGCTCTTGAGAGTTTAGGGCAATATAGAGCACCTGTTTGAGGTGCTTTTTAAAGAGGACTCTAGGTGGGGAGGGCTCTATAAAAGCAATTAGAGCTCGTGGTTCCTCAGCGTCTCTAACTTCTTCTCGTGCTTTATAACCCCCCCCCCCCAGCACACCCTCCTTTCTCCCTACCCCCCCCCCCTTCTTCCTCTCCCCCCTTCTTCCTCTCACTCCCTCCCTCCCCCATTCTCTCCTCCCTATCTCTCTCACCCCCCCCTCCCCAGCTCTCACAGGCCCTGACTGCTCTCCCAGTAAAGACGGCATCGTAGCCAACAGTTAAGTAATGGCCAATTACGGTTGTTTGAGGGGTCATTAGTGAAGTGCGGGTGATGATGCCTGTAATTGGGAGAGTGTAATTAGGCGTTGTTGGAGTGCTTGGTTCTCCTCTCTCTCTCTCTCTCTCTCTCTCTCTCTCTCTCTCTCTCTCTCTCTCTCTCTCTCTCTCTCTCTCTCTCTCTCTCTCTCTCTCTCTCTCTCTCTCTGTCTCTCTCTCTCCCGCTCTGGCAAATACCCAAATTACGGGCTTAAAATTATATTGACTATACAAATTATATTTATATAACATAATAGTAAACACTATAAACATGTGAGAAATGAATATAAACAAGAAACTCTAATAATAATTTGTTCAGTTCCCCCTCCCCCCCCCCCAGGACAATAAAATTGAAATTATTGAAAAATTGAAAATGAAATTATTTTTTTTATTAAAATATTGCAAAATTAAACAAAAATGTTATATTTGTTTATGAAGCAAAAAAGTAAATGTATAATTGTATTTAATGTTTCTAAATCTTTACTATATCCTTATAAATCTTTAAATGCTAGTATAATATTAGAGGAGTTTTGTAAAAATTCATAATATTCTATATATTTCAAAGAAGATTTGACACATTGTTAGCAAGTCTCTTCTTTCTGTAGCAGTAAGTATTTTTAAACTCACTTACATGCGGTTAATAACTTAATTAAACAGAACAAAGAATTCAATTTCCCCTCCCCTAACAAAATGATTTCAAAAGTGGAAGGGGGAAAAAAATAACAAATCCGGATTTGTTTAGAAAACGCAGGTTGTATTTCGTGCTAAAAACACAGGTTGAAGACGCGATAACGGTCAAATCCGGATTTGTTTAGAAAACGCAGGTTGTATTTCGCGCTAAAAACACGGGTTGAAGACGCGATAACGGTCTCGTCTGAGGCTATCTTAGCTCTGAGGTAAGACTAGGGAGTCGTTAACCTGTCGTTACCCCTCTAACGTCCACTTGTAGACGCCAAGTGCACTTACAAGTACTTCAGGCGACGCTTACACACGCCTCAGCTCCGTCTTGCTGAAGCGCCTTAAACTTTTGAAAGACATTACAAAAACAGGAAAACAAAGGAAGTCTGAGATGGGGGCGTGAGTGCCGGTGAGTGGTTGGTTATTGCAACGAGACTTGGGGGGTGGTTGGCTGCTGCAACGAGACTTGGGGGGTGGTTGGTTATTGCAACGAGACTTGGGGGGGGAGTGGTTGGCTGTTGCAACGAGACTGGGGGTGGTTGGTTATTGCAACGAGACTGGGGGGGGGAGTGGTTGGCTGTTGCAACGAGACTTGGGGGGTGGTTGGTTATTGCAACGAGACTTGGGGGGGGGGGAGTGGTTGGCTGTGTGCAACGAGACTTGGGGGGTGGTTGGTTATTGCAACGAGACTTGGGGGGGGGGAGTGTGTTGGCTGTTGCAACGAGACTTGGGGGGTGGTTGGGTTATTGCAACGAGACTTGGGGGGGGGGAGTGGTTGGCTGTTGCAACGAGACTTGGGGGGTGGGTTGGTTATTGCAACGAGACTTGGGGGGTGGTTGGTTATTGCAACGAGACTGGGGGGGGGGGAGTGGTTGGCTGTTGCAACGAGACTTGGGGGGTGGTTGGTTATTGCAACGAGACTTGGGGGGGGGGGGAGGAGTGGTGGCTGTTGCAACGAGACTTGGGGGAGTGGTTGGCTGTTGCAACGAGACATATACATGTTTGTTACTGGAATATAATATGGGATTACTGACAAGAGCTCTGAGTAGAACACTGTTTACATGCTACGGGATGAATTTGGGGAGTACAGCATCATCAGATGAAGCAGCATCAGATGTAGCATCATCAGATGAAGCATCATCAGATGAAGCATCATCAGACGAAGCATCATCAGATGAAGCATCATCAGATGAAGCATCATCAGACGAAGCATCATCAGACGAAGCATCATCAGACGAAGCAGCATCAGATGAAGCATCATCAGATGAAGCATCATCAGACGAAGCATCATCAGATGAAGCATCATCAGACGAAGCATCATCAGATGAAGCATCATCAGATGAAGCATCATCAGACGAAGCATCATCAGATGTAGCATCATCAGACGAAGCATCATCAGATGTAGCATCATCTGATGAAGCATCATCAGATGTAGCATCATCAGACGAAGCATCATCAGATGAAGCATCATCAGATGAAGCATCATCAGACGAAGCATCATCAGATGTAGCATCATCAGACGAAGCATCATCAGATGTAGCATCATCTGATGAAGCATCATCAGATGTAGCATCAATTATGCTAGAGAAACTTTGACAATATTTATATTTATTTATTTATTTATTTATTGAGAGAGGGATGGAGTTCCAGTGCTGTCACTCACTTCAGAGCTTTGAATAGACTCTCAGGGATATGTATACACGTGTGGATATGTATACACGTGTGGATATGTATACACGTGTGGATATGTATCCACGTGTGGATATGTATCCACGTGTGGATGTGTATCCACGTGTGGATGTGTATCCACGTGTGGATGTGTATCCACGTGTGGATGTGTATACACGTGTAGATGTGTATCCACGTGTGGATGTGTATCCACGTGTGGGTATGTATACACGTGTGGGTATGTATACACGTGTGGGTATGAATACACGTGTGGATATGTATACACGTGTGGGTATGTATACACGTGTGGATATGTATACACGTGTGGGTATGTATACACGTGTGGGTATGTATACACGTGTGGGTATGTATACACGTGTGGGTATGTATACACGTGTGGATATGTATACACGTGTGGGTATGTATACACGTGTGGGTATGTATACACGTGTGGGTATGTATGCACGTGTGGGTATGTATACACGTGTGGGTATGTATACACGTGTGGGTATGTATACACGTGTGGGTATGTATACACGTGTGGATATGTACTTAACCCTAATCCCGGCTTCCAGTACCTATTCCATCTCTGAGGGACTTGAGAGATGGAATTTCCTTTCCTTTCTTTCCCATCTTTCAACCCCTGTCCCACCACGACTTATCTGGCCTACCTCTCTCTCCCTC